CAATAGACTTACTGAAAACCTGGAATGCTGGGGTGGTGGGGGAGGGGGGACAATCTGTGGTTGAACAAACCTTCTAGGTGATTGTCATGCACATTAATGTTCGCCCAGCACAGTGCTGTACTTCTAGTGTAGGATTTTAGAGTGCATTAAGTTCTGGCTAATTATTTACTTGTCAGTATCCCTTATTAGAATATAAGTAGCCTGAAGGCCAGATCATACCTATTTTATCTCCACCACAGTGGAGGAAATAAAATGGCAATGAAATACAGGGTAGTTACGGATAGTTGATGCTGCTCCTTTTATTCCTAACGCAATTTACAGTTTCCTCTGCAAATAAATTTATTTGGAAAGGAAGATAAATTATATTGTTATGTTGTACATGATATAACATTACACTAGACTATATTTCATTACACACACATAATATATATGTATGTCTATATCTCTCTATATCTCTCTATATCATTATAGTAATTTATTCACCTGCAACATTCTTAATGATGAATCCTGGACTTGAATATTAGGAACCTGATTAGAAGAAAGTTTTCTAAGGGGAGACTGATTTGTCTTGCCTAGTTAGGATGTAGGATTTTTAGCCCTGCTTCTCAGACTTTAACATAAATATGAATCACCTCGGATCTTTTTAAACTGAAGTTTCCTGATTCAGTTCATCTGTGGAGAGGCCCACGAGTCTGCCTTTCTCACAGGCTCCCAGGTGATGCTGCTGGTCTAAGTGGGCCCCAGAGGAAATTTTACAAACAACCTACCTTCTTGCAAACTAGCTACGTAGCTTTTTCTCGCACAAGGAGATTTGGCATGAGTACAACTTCTTTGAGTTATTTTTATTCATGTATGAGTCAAAGGCCCTAGCCAATGGTTCTCAACCCTGGCTACACTTTTGAATCACCTGGAGGTGCTTTTAAAAAATACCAGTGCCCAGGATCTACTCTCTGAGAGTCAAATTTAATGAACCACAGCCTTACGCAATGAAGTAAAACAGGTGCAGAAATTGCTGTTATGTTCTACACAGCAGATCTATGACAAGTCTGCCCTTGAGAAGTTTGTCATCTAAATGATAAGATGGTACAATGCATATTAACAAGGACTTAACATTAAAATTATTAAAAGGAAAAACAAAAGGCAAACTTTGTTCATGATATAAAATATGACAGACCACCTACTTTGTAGGATGGAAACCAAACAGTAGACCTGCTAATATGTGTATTTCTCTGGAAATACTCCTAAGGAAATTGTTATTTGGAAGAATGGGAATCTTACCTACTTGCTTGGATGATGAGGTTAGACCGTCATTATTTGTATATATGGCACATGTGAAGATATGATAGCTGAAGTATATTGGATTATGTTCCAATTCTTTATCTCATACCTTGTTATAGAATTATGAGACATCTATGCTCTTGTTGTGTTGACTTTGCTCCCACAAGATCAGGAACAGCATATTTTCTTGTCTCACTGATGTTGGGCTGGACCAATGGAATGTCACAATACAAAGACTTTAAATATCCTTGAGTGATTTTGCTTGGCTTCTGGTACTGCTGGCGTTCCACAATAAGACCACACCGAGGGGTTCGCCTGGCTGGCTCAGTTTGTTAAAAGTCTGCCTTGGGCTCAGGTCAATGTCTCAGAGTCCTGGGATCGAGTCCCAGGTTGGGCTCCCTGCTCAGCGGGGAAGTCTGCTTCTCCCTCTGCCTCTGCCCCTCCAGCGAGGAGTCTGCTTCTCCCTCTGCTCTCTCTGTTGCTCCCTCCCTCAAATGAATAAATAAAATCTTAAAAAAAAAAAAAGACCACACCTAGGTTACCAGAGGTTCTGACTCACCTCCAGAAGCCTGGGGTGCAGCTCAGACATTTTTAAATATTAAACACAGGTAATTCACTGACTTCTCCATTTAAGGGACTAGAAATTTAAACAGATAATGTAGATGCATTTTGTCCAATACATTTAAGTTCTCTTAATCAATGACACATCTGGAATATACTTTATTGGATGATTTCTGTGATGGAATCATCACTGTTTGATTGTAAAATAAGCACACAATGGTTAGTGTTTATTATAAAGTCAGAGTATTCTGTTTGGATACTTCTTTATTTTGAAGATGTGGTATTATCTCTTTTTTGTTTAAATTGTTTCTTTTTTGAATGACATGATAGTTGGTTAGCTATGGTTTTTTTTCTTAGTTGGAAATTGAAAGTTAGAAATCTTATCTATGTTCCTAATTTTGGTGGAGTGCAGGAGGAAGTACAGAAGTTTCATGGCATATGAATCCAAAAGCTAGGAAACCACCTTTATAATCCATTAATTTCACCCAATGTAGATAGATCAAATTTAGAAGATGAATATTAGCTGAGGATTAAATGAACCTGTAGTCAAAAGTCCTTCCCAGTGGCTACAGGACAAGTAAAACATGCCCTACAAGAAACCCATACTAATTAGGTGTTATACCAGAGCGCCGTTATTTTGCCATCAGTTTTTGTTTTGCTTGTTTGTTTTGTGAACTTATCTTAAATTGGTGAGGCTTCTCTGCAGAAATCAAGGATGGATAAAATAGATTTTAGCTAAGCAAATGCAGTGCTTACAACAAACCATACCTAATCATATAAAAATGTCAAAATCACTCTTCCTAATAGTGTTATGAGGTGTTCTAAAATGATAAGCTGTTAATATCTCTTTCTGGGATTTCTGGCTGACTGTCAAAATAATGGTAATATCACCTGATATAGTTTCAATATTAAAAAAAGATTGGCAATATCTTTATAAATATGCAGTACTGCAGAACTGAGACAAATTGTACAGGTTGGCTATGAATAGACTCCCCTGATTATTGTTTGGAGGGGCATTAACTCCTTCAAATCCATGAGGCAGCTGTGACGGGGCAGAAACACAGGAACAGGCAAGATGTGGCCACCTGCGTGACCTTGGACAAATCATTTAATCTCTCTGAACCTCGGTTTGTTTATCTACAAAAGGAAGGATTTAGATTAGGTGTCTTTTAAGGACTGTGCCAGATATGAAATTCTATAATATTATTTATATTAATATAATTACATTTCCAAATGAAGAGAAAAAAATGAGGTTAGTCCGGCCAAGTTATTCCTCAATACTTTTTTAGTAAGGCAGTGTTTTTGCAAATGAGGAAACAGAGCCACAGAAGGGTTAATTAACTTGCCCCAAATCACACAAAAACTTTATACTTGGTCTTTTGAATCCAATTTAAAATATATGTAGATCTATTTTTCCAAAAGAGCAGCTTCAAAAAATTCCTATTATCTACATTTTACTTTAGCAGATATTAAAATTATTTTTACCCTTTTAAAGTGGATTGTTAAATCCAGGGACATTTTCCGATTTACAATTAAAAATAAACTATTTCTAAATACTAAGTGCCCTGACTTTAAGAAATCTTCACATTTTCCCTTTAAAAGAGAAACAAAACCCAGGGCACCTGTGTGGCTCAGTCGGTTAAGTGGCTGCCTTCGGCTCAGGTCATGATCTTGGGATCCTGGGATCAAGTCCCACAAGAGCTCCCTGCTCAGCGGGGAGCCTGTTTATCCCTCTTCCTCTGCCCCTCCCCCTGCTTGTGCGGGCGCTCTCTCTCTCTCTCTCTGTGTCAAATAAATAAGTAAATAAATAAATAATAACTTTTTGAAAAAATAAAAGATAAACAAAAACCAATTCAAGAAGCTAAATTCTACTTGTTTCTTCCAATTATTTTATGTGCTTGTCTGTGTCTATGTGCCTGTGTGTGTATATATATGTATGTCACAGGGAGGAAGAGGCTATGTAATTTTATTTTCTCCCATCACTTCTTCCTCCCATTCATTATAATATAAGAATTATCTGATTATCTATAAAATGTTGCCCAGATGAAACCCAGCTATCCTCAGTTTTCATAAGGAGATTGAAGCACAGAGGCGTTAATTGACTTTCTCAAGGTCACACAGAACTTTGCAGTCAAGGTTGGGATTAGAATCTAAATTTCTTGTCCCAGGTGCTTTTCTCCCATTAGGCTGTTTTTTTTACAGAGGGCTTAAATTACCACCTCCTTTGCAGGCAGGATTTGGAGGATGCTTGTGAAATGCTTCATTAAAAATCACAGTATCATGGGACATGGCTACAGGTGACATCCCCAGGTAACAGATGATGGGTTTTGAGCAGAAAATCAGGGGATTTAGAGCATAAATTCACAGGAAAATAAACTCAGGTGTGAGGACAGGCTAGACTTGTATTAACAGTCAAGCTAAGGCTTTCACGCTGGGATTCCATTTTCCCCCCCAGCTCATCACCCCACCTCCACCAAGCATTTGCTTTTAATCTGGTGCTGTCCCTGGGACTAATATTCAACAGCCTAAGATCTTGTCTTTTTTTTTTAAAGATTTTATTTATTTATTTATTTGAGAGAGAGAGAGAGAAACAGCATGAGAGGGGAGAGAGGTTCAGAGGGAGAAGCAGCCTCCCCTCCCAGCCGGGAGCCTGATGTGGGACTCGATCCCAGGATTCCGGGACCATGACCTGAGCCGAAGGCAGTCGCTTAACCAGCTGAGCCACCCAGGCGCCCTAGATCTTGTCTTTTCTGTTTGGATTTTTTTTTTTTTTTTTTGCCTACTAAAGCAGATTTCAGTGTATTTTATAAGAACTCCATTGATGGTACTGCATAAATAGTATTCAAACAAGTGTCCTCAACCCTAATTGGAATATTGTTTTATTACGCCGCACATTTCCTAAATCTCACCCTAATTAAACGTATATTGTCCTTCATTATTACCCACAAACAACTAGCCGTACTTGATTTATGGCTGTGTACGGTGGTGGTTGATGACTGTATCAGCATTTCAACTTCCAATGCGTTTCAGAGGTTTGGAGTTTATCAGGAAAATTAATTGCAGCTGAAAACCTGGCACGGTCTGTGCTTACACTGACCGGCCTGGGGCGCTCCTGCTCCCGGCTTCCTTTTCTGGAACAGCTGCCAGGGGAGTGGAGTGAGGAGTGGAAGAGGAGAGTGGATGGCGGGAGAGCAGGGTGCCACTCTTCTAGATCTTCTCACCAATCGCTGGAGTCTGGAGGGGAAATGAAAACTCTTCCCTGCTTATGAACACAGTAAGTGGACGGAAGCCTGAGTTCCCAGCTCTCCATTAGCAAGCCAGCCAGCCAGGTGTTGGCCGTCGTCAACACTGGCAGCTTTTTCCCTTTGTTTATATACGCAAAGATTTCAGGGTTTTGTGGGTTTGTTTTGGTTTTGGTTTTGTTTTTTAGTTGATTTCAGCTATGGGGTTTCAAGATATGGATGTGTTTGTTGGCTTAGAAGCAGATATATGACCCCTGAAGGCAACTGGACTTTTCCCTGACAGCTTGTCACTCAACTTTTCCAAAGGCAGGGTGGGGAACAATAAAAGACAGCTACTCTGGCTAGTGGCCTTGCAACCCACGTATTCAGCATTCTGCTTTGTGACTTTAATTGTACTCTGCCTAGCAGCATGCAAGAGCAGTTCTCCAAGGGAAAAAAATAGGAGAATTTACTTTTTTTTTTTTTTTTTTAACTAATGTAGCAGGAAGGTCCCGGTAATAAACTAGGAACTTTTAGTTTATCATGAGCGCTGAAAAGCAAAAACTCCCTGTTGAATTCAAAGGGCCTGTTGAATGCAAAGAACAGCAACCAGCCAACACCAGGTTAAGTAAATGGATTGTAAGAACTGGAAGTAGAGCTGAATATTATGAGAGGTTGGAATTATAAGCTGGGAAGTCTTCAGGAACCAAGATTGCCATTCTTTGTCATCTCTCTTGCCCATGCTTAGCTTCTCTTTCTTTCCAGAATATTTCATTTCTACTTCTTTTGAGACATCTGCTTTACCCTCTGCTTTTTACTGTGATCTGGTTCTCTGTGTGTGCTCATCCACACAGTTCCCAAACTCCCAGCCTTGCAGGTTTACATGACTCTCCAGTTCTAGTGACTACCACTACTTACTACAGTTCTGCTATCTCAGTTTAAATTAAGAGACAGGCTCTAATTGACTCCACTTAGGTCAGCTGTCCAGCCCATGCCTCATCAGTTTTGATGGGTGTGATGGCACCATGACCACTAAATACATTACTTACTTTTGCAGAGTCTATGGAAGCAGCATTGCCAAGAAAGAGGGCATTGACTGGGCACCTAGTGACCCATCCTAATTGTGATAGAGTAGGATCGATATTATACACACACACACACACACCGGAAATGGCTTAATGGTAAGCAAGTGGTATCATATGGGAAAAACAGCTCATAGAAAATAGTTTAATTCATTGGCTTCTACGCATTAGAGGGCAGACATACCCTTGGAGTGCCTATTAAAAATGCAGACGCCGCAGCTCCCTCCAGAGATGATTGTGTGGGGGTAGCAAGCAGGAATCAATACTTTTTTTTTTTAAGTTTTTTTTTTTAAAGATTTTATTTATTTATTCATGAGAGACAGAGAGAGAGAGAGGCAGAGGGAGAAGCAGGCTCCCAAGGAGCAGGGAGCCCAATGCGGGACTTGATCCCGGGACCCTGAGATCATGACCCGAGCCAAAGGCAGACGCTTAACCATCTGAGCCACCCAGGTGCACAGGAATCAATACTTTTTAATAAGCACTTCAGGTGAGTCCAATGAGAGTGGTCCACATACCTCATTTTGAGAAGCCCTGGTTTCTCAGCTGATTCTTAACAGAAGCCCTGGCTTCTCAGCGGATTCTTAACACATATTCAGGTGTAACTAGTGATTAGTGGTGAAGAATGTACAAAGACCCCTGACTTCCCCATAGTGACTGGACCAGGTTAGGGAGTGAGACTGAATTGTGTCCTGCATCTGAGCTCTGACTGTGATTTAGTGAGGGGGGTGTATAAACAGTTTGGGAGCCTATTCAGAGAAACTCCAAGGGCCTTCATTTTACGAGGTGTAGTTCCTGTCTGAAAAATAAAAGGTAAGTTAATTATGAAATAACATGGTCGCATTAATAATGCCATAGCAGTCAGCAGCACAGTGAAAGATGCCAGCTTGGATGACATTAGCTTGCCTGGGAGGATTGATGCTAAACCGTCAGGAGTGACATAGAAGAACTTCTAGTGCCATTACTCCTACCCCACAGGAATATCACCAGAGAGGATAATTTAATTTCTTTCATCCTTGTTTCCAGGGTTTCATACCTGCCTGAAAACCCTCATTTAAAAGTGCACAGATTTAAAATGTTTCACACCTCCCCCAAGTTAAAAATGTACTGTACTGTTGCAAGCTTGCTGTTTTGTGTGTATTTGAGAATGGTTTCAGGTTAGCTGGTGAGCCAAATATCTACCTTCCAACACCCAGGGCTCAGCCTGTTTTACTAGATGGGGTGGGGGGAAAGCAGTGGAGGAAGAACAAAATTGAAAAGAAATTAAGATATGAGCTTTATACAGCCAAGAACATCATCTTCTTTCCACACAAAGCACAGAGGGTGGTTTTTCCAGGCGCACACTAGAGCGTGGCACCTGTGTTCATTTAACTGATTACACATTCAACAAAATTTGTGTGATGTGCGATCATTTGAATCACTCATTATATATTAAAATAAACGGACACAAATACAACTCGTTCTCTGCTGCTTTTGAGAAACTAAGTAAATTAAAGAACGAAACGAAGGTGATGCTAGGCTGAAGATTTGACATACAATAGAGGCAGAAAATTCAGAATTCATGGTTTTTGACTGTGATCCGATAACTTTCAGCGCTGGCGTGCGATTAGAAAAGCAAGAAGAGGAAGAACAGTGTCTGTTCCTTGTTTTGGACCACCACCCCTACGGCCCCCAGACCACTTCTCACTGGGCTTGGGACCCTAGCTCAGAGGACCACATAGCAAAAGGGAAACAGCAGGGAAAAACCGTTTAAAAAAAAAAAAAAGGCAAGTGAAAGAACGTAGGCCTCTAGTGAAGTACAGGTGTTTTGCCCGGCTTCCCCCATTATAATTGTTTGTCTCTTCCTTTTTATGGCTAATATGATTTTTTTTTAAGATTTTATTTATTTATTTGACAGAGACACAGAGAGAGGGGGAACACAAGCAGGGGGAGTGGGAGGGGAAGAAGGAGGCCTCCCACTGAGCAGGGAGCCCGAGGTGGGGCTCGATCCCAGGACCCTGGGACCATGACCTGAGCCGAAGGCAGATGCTTAACGACTGAGCCACCCAGGCGCCCCTGGCTAATATGATTTTTACACCTAACTTGGATGGGGCTTCTGACATTATCAATCCACTGAAACTGTGTTTTCAAGGTTTATCACTTTGACAAAACCAAATTTCCTTTCTTACCTTTCTTGACCTGTCGGCATTTGAAATGGATGACCCCCTGCCTCCTACCTGAAACATCTTCTCTTGCCTTCCCTAATAACACACAGTTGTAGTTTTCCCTTCTCATGATAGTTCCTTAGCCTTCTCCACCAACCCCTCCTCCTTCCCCTCCTTCATATTAAAATCTGAAACTTAAACGTGTTGAAAACAACTCTTGGGGCACCTGGGTTACTCAGTCGGTTAAGTGGCTGCCTTCGGCTCAGGTCATGATCCTGGGCTCCTGGGATGGAGCCTCACGTCCGGCTCCCTGCTCAGCGGAGGGCCTGCTTCTCCCTCTCCCTCTGCCTGCCACTCTGCCTACTTGTGCTCTCTCTCTCTCTGTCAAATAAATAAAATCTTTAAAAAAAACCAAACCAAACAAAGACGGAACTCTTAATTTTACACCTACCTCTCCTCAACAATATCATCTCTACCCACCTAGTTGCTCAGGCAAAAAATGAGTTTTTCTTAACTCCTGTCTTTCCCTCTCCATCACACGTTCAATTCATTAGCAAGTCCACTCAAGAAGACACCCAAATGTTTCCCAACCCATTGGGCTCCATTATCCTTCACCCTGATGGCTATTATAGCTAACTGGTTTCTCTCCTTCTAGTAGTAGTGTTCTTTCCCTCTAATTTTATCCGTCTTTACTGATATCACCCTTGTCAATCACTATCATATTTTTCCTGGCTACTGTAATTACCTTTTAATTGACCTCCTAGCTGTACAGCCAAAGATGTCTTCTAAAAAATACAAGTAAGTTTTGACATTTCCTATAATAGCTTCCTACTATATTTAGAATAAAATTTGGGCTCATCATAGCATATAAAGCCTTAAGTGATCTATTACTGAATTCCATGACTGTGTTTTTCTACAGTTCTTAATTTCACAGAATGTTCTTTTAAAAACTTAAATCAGATTTTGTCATTCCTCAGATTAAAAATCTTCAAAGTTTAGTAATCCTTACCACATTGTACAATGTTATGTCTGTTAAGAATGTTTTTGGCTCTAAGTAATGGAAAAACTAATTAATGGTGTCTTAAACAAAAAGGGATTAATTTTTCTCAAAGCATAAGAAATCCTGAGTAGATGGTTGGTGGTATTGGTGCCGTTGTTTAATGACTTCATGAAGTAATCAGATTCTTTTTTTCTCTCCCATCCTTAGTATGTTGGTGTTTGATCTTACACCTATCACCTCATGGTCCCAAGATGGTTTTTAAAGTTCCAGACATCACATCTATATCATCCATGTTCAAGGTAAGAAAAAGGTAGAAGAGATAGAAGCTATAACAATAAGCTCACCCCTGCTCCAGGGCCTTTGCACTTATTTCTCCAGCTGGAGTTTTCCCCAGATTTTCATATGGTTTGCTCCTTGTAACTATTGAGGTCACAATACAAATACCCCAGAGAAGAGTTACTAATCCAAAGTAGCACCTCTTATTTTACTATAACTGTCTGTTTTTCTTATTGAAATCTATATTCACTTTCTATGGCTGCTATAACTAAGGATCAAAATCAGGTAGCTCAATATCTTCCTTCAGGCTGCTGTAACAAAAATACCATAGACTGGATGGCATGCATTACTGAAATTTATTTCTCACAACTTTGGTGGCTGGAAAATCCAATATTAAAATGCCTACTGGTTTGATTCCTGGTGAGAACCCTCTTCCTGGTTTGCAGATAGACACCTTCTTGTTGTGTCCTCACATGGGAGGGAGAGAGAAAGGAAGCAAATTCTTTTGCATCTCTTCTAAGGGCACTAATATCACCATGGAGGCTTTACTCTTAGGACCTAATTATCTCCCAAAGACCCCATCTCCAAATGCTATCACATTAGGGACTAGGGTTTCAGTATACGAATTTAGGGGGGTACCTATTCAGTCCACAGCACTCAAACAATAGAAATTTATTGTCTCATAGTTCTGAAAGCTAGAAGTCCAAGATCAAAGTGTCAGCAGGGTTGGTTACTTCCAAGGGCTATGAAAGAAAGAGCTGCTCCAGGCCTCTCTCCTTGGCTTGTAGATGGCCATTTTATCCCTGTGTCTTCACATTGTCTTCCCTTTGTGTCTGTATCTACATATCTTCTTCTTATAAGGATACCAGTCATATTAGATTAGGGGCCACCCTAATGACCTCATTTTAATTTGGTTACCATTGTAAAAAAAATACCTATCTCAAAGGTCATGTTCTGAGGAATGGGGGTTAATAATTCAACACATGGATTTGGGGAGAGGACACAATTCAATTCATAACAAACTCAATAAATATGCACTAAACGCATGGATGGATTTGAATCCTAGCCACCATTTACTAAATGTTTACAGTGTGTCAAGTGCTACATGGAGTGCTTCATCCCATCTCCTTTAATTCTCACAGTAATCCAGTGAAGAAGGTTCTACATGTATTCTCTTTTAGAAATGGGAAAACCATAGCTGGAGATATAGTGAGTAAAAGGGCAATATAGGGGAGGCCAGGAAAAAAATTAAGGCTGGGATGTCTGTAGCAAAATACTGAGGAAACTTCCTTTGAGACCTCTTCATTACCTTTGATGGGCCACACTGGATCATAACTAGGCAAGAAGACTGAAATGGTGAGTTTAGACAGGGGTCAGCAAACTGTTTTCTGTGACATATTTTAGGCTTCCAAGTCACATGGTTTCTGTCCTAACTTCTCTGTCATTATAGTATGAAGTGGCCATAGATAATACAAAACAAATGACTGTGGTTGTGTTCCAATAAAACTATTTATAAAAGCCAGTGGCCTATGACCCATAGTTTGCTAAAGCCTTAAAGAAATTTTTGCTTTGATTTTCTGTCCTTTGATTTTCCTAAAAGCAAATTAATTTTATGAATTTAGAAAAGCTATGCTGACCTGCATCTCTGAGATGCCCAGCATTTGCTTCCCTCTTTTAGAGAGAGTTGTACTACATCATTCAAACTCTGAGAGAATACTCAAAGTCCACAACTGTCCTCCAAAATGCTCTCTCCTCTGGAAAGTTTTTTGTCATGTCTTGTTACATTGTGAACTTATTTTCCCTCAGTGATGGCAGAAGAGAGCTGTGGGAACAGAAGAGAAGTCAAAGGCACAGAGATGCAAAAGCTAGCAATCCTGAGTTTCATTCCTGGCTGAGGGATGGACAAACAATTGGCTTCAGTGCCTATTACTTCAATTCTCCATGAGTTGTTTTCTTGTCTGAAGAGATCAGAAAACATTTATCTAAGGATGTAGTCCATATGAAACGTTGGAAGTGACCTGGGAATATACTTGATAAATAGGCAAGATGAGAGTAATCTGATTAAGGGGTGCTAAAGAATTCTCCCCTGTTGCCTGAATATTTATGCATTTTCAACTTGTGAGTCCCTGTGCCCCTTGTCAGTCTTTGATGAGTATCTTGTATTTTCTCCTGATTATAAACGTTAAGGACTCAGCCTGTTTGTTTGTTTGTTTTGTTTGTTTTTTCTTCTCACAACTGCCCTACTTCATCGTAGTCTATGGAGGTCTTCTTTTTTCAAATCTAGACACTGAGCAAGGTGGAGTTTCCATCTGCTCCACCATTCACCCCTCAGTAGCAGTGTCCTTGTGGGCCCATGTCCATTGCATTTTAAGCAGCTTGCTTCTAAAGCAACCTGGAAAACAAGACATAACAGAAGTGAATATGGGAGTTTATATGACAACATAAAGATCTTACAATAGTGAACCCTGATCTAAGACTTCTCCATGTCTTCATTTTCATTTAAGAAAAAAAAAACAAAAACATTTTTCTTATTACAACAGTAACACATGGCAATATGTTAGACTAAATATCCTGAAAATCCCTCCAATACAAAATCCTAGGAATGCTAGATTAAATATAACAAACATCCTTTAAACACGTAGCTGAAATGATAAGAATATTAGAGAAATCTCCAGGGGCCAAAAACAAAGAGGGAGCTGGAAACCTGTGTGGTTCATCCTGAAGTTTTTCCTGAAGCATTGACTTCCCAGGGAGCATCTGTCAATTCTAATAATCAACAGGCTTTCATTTTAATGGTTGAACAGTAGATACAAAATGAGGTTTTAGAGCATTCAGGATGGGGAATTGGAACTTCGAGATACCTCCACCTCAAGGACCTCAGAAATACATTCTGAAGGAAGGAAGGAAGGAACTAGAAAAAAAAAAAATCCACCTGCTGGCAAAAAGAAATGCAAATGACACTTGCTTATCAGGGCCTAAGCTCCAGACTGGGGAAAAAAAAAATGTAATCGAGGCCTTTCTATGTGTGGGTTTGGGATTTGAATTTCAGACTACCTGAATGTCTAGGAAACCCTAGTCTGAGGAATTGAAGTGGTTCTTGTTTGAGAAGACCCCAGGACACATGGCAAAAGCAAATGCACATTCCCTATGGAGGCTTGTCTCCTTACTCAGGCTCTGCAGGATTCTTATCGATTAAACCCCAAAGAAGACTTCACAGGTCAAAATTTCAAAACACATAGGAAATGACCATTATGTATGACAATGTTAGCAGATAAAATAAAAGCAAAATTAGATACTCAAGACCTTTTGATATTGAATTATCCCATACAGGATATAAGTAGATTTTAATATGTCTTTTTGTCAGTACAACACTAGTTACTGTATCTTTAAAATCAAGAAGTATGAAACCTCTAACTTTGTTCTTTTTCAAGGTTGTTTTGGCTATTGTGGTCCCTTGGGATGCCATATGAATTTTAGGATGGATTTTCCTAATTCTGTAAAAAAAAAAAAAAGTCACTGGGATTTTGATAGAAATTACATGGATTGTTTTGAGTAGTATTGACATTTTACCAATATTAAGTCTTTGAATTCATGAGCACAGTAATATCTGATTTTCAGTGTACAAGTCTTTCACCCCTTAGATAAGCTGATTCCCAAGTATGGTATTTGTTTTGATGTTATTGCAAATGGAATTTTCTTAATTACCATTTCAGATTTTTCATTGTTAATGCATAAAACAACTGATTTTTGTGTGTTGATTTTGTATCCTTTAACATTGCTAAATGCACATATTCTAATATTTTTGTGTGTGGAATCTTTAGGGTTTTCTACAAAATCCTATTGTTTGTGAACAGACATAATTTTACTACTTTCTTTCTAATTTGGATGCTCTTAATTTCTATTTTTTGCCTAATTGCTCTGGCTAGGATTTCTAGTATTGAATGAAAGTAATGAAAATAGACACATTTGTCTAATTCCTGATCTTAAAGGGAAAGCATTCAGTCTTTCACCATTAAACGTGTTAGCTCAGTTAAGCTTTTCAGAATATGGTCTTTATTGTATTGAGGTAGTTACCTACCTAATAGTGCTAGTTTGTTGAGTGTTTATATCATGAAAAGGTATTAAATTTCATCAAATGCCTTTTCTGTATCAATTGAGAAAATCATAGGCTCCTCTCTCCCCCATTCTATTAATGTGGTATATTACATTGATTAATATTTGTTTGTTGAACCATGCTTGCATTCCAGGAATAAATCTCACTGCGTCATGGTATATGATCCTTTTAATGTGCTGTTAAATTCTGTCTGCTAGTATTTTTCTTGAGGATTTTAGCAGCAATATTCATCATGGGTATTGGTCTGCACTTTTCTTATAATAGTCTTTGTAGAGATTTGGTATTGGTGTAATGCATAGAATGAGTTTAGAAGTACTCCCTCCTTTTCAACTTTTTGGAAGAGTTTGAAGAGAACTGTTAATTGTTTTGTGTGTTTCTAGGAATTTGTCTGCTTTATCTGAGATATCAAATTTGATGTACAATTGTTCATAGTATTCTCTTATAATCTGTTTTATTTCTGTAAAATCTGTAATATCCCCTTTGTCATTTCTGATATAGGTTTTGAGGCTTTTCTATTTTTTAGTCACTCTAGCTAAAGTTTTTCAATTTTGTTGGTATTTTTGAACAACCAATTCTTTGTTTCATTGGTTTTTCTCCATTAGTTTTTTCACTCTATATTTTATTTATCTCTATTCTAATCTTTATTATTTCTTTCCTTCAGCTAGCTATTGGTTTGCTATCTTCTTCTTTTATTCCTTCCAGTATAATTAACATATTTTAAGTGTATGATATAGCGATTCAACAATTCTAGACATTACTCAGTGCTCATCATGATAAATATATTCTTGATCCTCTTCACCAATTTCACCCATCCCCTCACTTATCTCCCCTCTGATAACCACCAGCTTGTTCTCTATATTTAAGAGTCTGTTTTCTTTGTCTTCTTCATTTTATTTCTTAAATTCCACATATGAGTGAAATCATATGGTACTTGTCTTGTCTTTTTCTGATATATTTCACTTAGGATTATAAACCTCTAGATCCATCCATGTTGTTGTAAATGGCAAGATTTCATTCTTTATTATGGCTGAGTAATATTCCAGTGTGTGTGTGTGTGTGTGTGTGCACATATTCATTTTTTTAAATTTTATTATGTTAATCACCATACATTACATCATTATTTTTTGATGTAGTGTTCCATGATTCATTGTTTGCATATGACACCCTGTGCTCCATTCAATAGTGCCCTCTTTAATACTCATCACCAGGCTAACCCATCCCACTCACCCCCCTCCCATCTAGAAGCCTCAGTTTGTTTCTCAGAGGCCATAGTCTCTCATGGTTCATCTCCCCTCCTATTTCTCCCGCTTCATTTTTCCCTTCTTGCTATCATCTTCTTTTTTTTTTTTTTTTAACATATAATGTATTATTTGTTTCAGAAGTACAGGTCTATAATTCAACAGTCTTACACAATTCACAGCGCTGACCATAGCACATACCCTCCCCA